AATGAAAGTTTCAATAGTTTCAATATCACCTTTTTGCAATTGATCGTGGTAATACTCGTGTAGTAACATTTAGCGTTCCCTGCGTCATACCGAAAAGTAACCCGAGGCCTTAGCATTTAACGAGACGATCCATTCTAGTTTGAGAGAAAGATAGAAAATTGCTTTCGCAGCTTTAGACAATTATTTGAATGTGTGTGTCGTTCAGGTCACTAGTCGCATCCCTTTTAATGAAAATTAAGGTAGGCTAGGTCCCCTTTAAGATGACGCAAGGAAAATTAAAGATGACGCAAGGAACATTAGGTTACGCTTGTAGCTCTATCTGTGAAACAAAGCAATCAACTGATTTCTAGTCCCAAGAGAGCTTTTAGAATTGATCTAATATAGGTCCTTTATAGACTTACAAATGGGATCGTGACGACAGCCAGGTTGGTCCTCTCCACCATTAGGGTAAAAATCAATATGGCCGCTAGGGTCAACCGATCCCATAAAGTCGATATCGCTATGGATGACGTCAACAAATTCAGCGTCACTAGGGTCCAGTCTTACATCAGTATGCTCGCCGGTGAAAAAGAAGCTGGCAGGATCGAGACCTGAGAAATAGTTAATTATGATTTTTGTCAAAAATTCTCAATTATAKGCTAAAGGGTTGGAGGGATGTAGTAGTACTCCATTGCAGTCTATTTAGTTATTTATACACGTTACCAAACAGCAAACAGCTAGCCACCAAGAAAGCAAGTATGCAAGCAAGCAAAAAAAAAAACAAGTTAGAAAGCAAGCAAGTACTAAATAACATTAATTTTCAATTTTTTACACACTCAGGATTTTCACTATATTCAATTATTACTGTCGACTACTGAACCTGTAATTCTTCTAAGTTTCTGTTGAACTGCATTGAATCGTCTCCCTGCRTATCCACCAATGTGTGCTCCTAAACTGAATCCAACGATGTAAAAATCAGACGGTGTGTTKCCAGTTTGATTATTGATGAACTGAATCAAGTTGAAGACCTAAAACAACCGGTGTTAGTTAGTTAATAAAGAAATTAGGATCAAATTAGAAATTAAAGTAACTTATTTTTTTGGCGGGGTTAAGGGAGAGTAGGGGGGTAAGTGGGGTTGGAGGGGGTGAAGGCAGGAGGGGTGAAGGGAAACAGGGCGTCGAGCATGAGAGCAATGGTGTTTCTTATATCAATTTGATATTCGAGGAAGTATTTTCACACCTTTTCACTAAAGGGATCGTTCATTATTTAATTCGAAGGGKGTTGGAGGAAAAATTGGGGGACCCTGAAATAATTTAGTTGAAAAATAGGGGGTCTTGAATGTTTAAAATCATAGTTTTGGGGGGT